TGCTTGACTGGCTTATCGAATATAGCTTGTTGTATCACTAGCAACTTGGCAACTATCTCCTCATACTCTGATTCATTAAAATTTGAATAAAGTTCATGGTCTGCCGGAGCTCTGAATTCTGACGGCAATAGAAAAGCCATTTGAATGTTAGCCGATGGTTGACCCCTATCAGCAGTTTGTTTAGCACGGCACACTTGAGGTCTAGCAGATGCCAGAGCCTGTTCTAGCTCTCTGTTACTTAGGCGTTGTACCCTTCTTTTCTGGCTTCTTGTTAAACCTCCTGGACACCATTGTCCTTCCTACCAAACATATTCTTCCTCATTATTTTCTTTTCCATAATCAGCCTAGTTTTGATCAACAACTCGCTTCCCAAGCCAATCATGAATACTTATATTTTTTAAGCGCAGATCCATATTATGATGATACTCATCTCGAACATGGATAGACCGACGGTTGGTCTGAGATTGCCTAAACTCCTAATATTGCTCACTGCACTCTGGGCAATTATTTCTAGTAGGCAATTTCAAACCTTTGTTCTAGTAATGTCTGAAGAAAGGACAATTCCAATGTGATTCAGCTTGCTTTCTTTCATACCTCTCTTTCTCCTGTTGACGCTGGTATTCTTTCTCTTCTAGCCAACGTTGATAATCCTTTTCCTTCTGCTGCTGCCATTTATTCAATAAAATCCGAGATGTGACACGTGGATTTATTGCCCCATCCCTTGATGTCTCTCCCTGCTCATATCGGCTCTTCTGTTGGTCACAACATCTTTTAATCTCTCTATATTCATCATCCGATATTTGCATCTTCGGGTCGATGGTTCTGGCTTCTTTGGCCCTAGTTGATGTTAGGACTTTGGTCTTCCCTTTGAGCAACCTAGCATCAACCATGTTCTGATCTCTTGGGAAAGGATTATCATTGACTTTCATCTTCCGAGGTGCATCAAATTTGAGCTTCCCTTGCTGAATAGGCCTCTGTATTTGTTGTCGGAAAATTCTGCATTCATTAGTAGAATGAGAAGTAGCGTTATGAAACTTGTAGAACTTCTTATTCTTCAATAGATTAGGAGGCAACATAACATGATTAGCAGACAACTTGATATGTCCCTTCTCAAGCAAGAAATCGAAGAGCTTGTCCATTTTTGTGACGTCAAAATCATAGCTCTCTTCAGTTCCCTTCCCCCAAGGACTTGGCACCATTACTGTCTTCTTACCCCAATTCCATTCAGCCACAACAATCTCTTCTTCTTCGTTGTCCTCATAGCCATCATCAACTAAATATGGATTATAGGTTTCGACAATTGTGGCACTCTTCTAGAATCGGGTATCTCTTTGCATATTCTGGAATTGGCTATTGAGCGCTGCTACTCGTTGAGCCAACTGACCTAAATTGTCAAACTCTTGCCCCAGCAGCTCCTCTCTCCATGTTGGCAACATTCCTTGAACGGCCAAAGTAGCTACCTGATCATTAGTCAAGTTCAATGAGAAGCACAAATTTCTGGTCTCTCGGAACCTCTGAAGAAACTCGGTGCCCGATTCATTAGTTCTCTGCCTTATGGTCATCAAATCGGTAATTTTCTTTTCTCCTATCCCAGTATAAAAATATGTATGAAACTTCTTCTCTAAGTCAGCCCAATTGGCAATGGAATTAACTGGTAATGATGAAAACCAAGTGAAGGTTGGTCCTGACAGGGACAAGGAGAAGAAACGAACTCGATGGGCCTCTTCAATGGATGTTCTATTGTGCTTGTGTTATCTTGGCTAGTGAATTTAGCAAACTCCAGGAGCCTGTAATTTATAGGAAGAGCGACCAAATCATACTACTCTGGATATGGACGTTTGTACAAAAAGGTTTGCCCTTTTGGTTTTAAACCGAACTGATTCTTCATCATCTTGGTTACTCTGAGCAACAACTCATTAGCATTTAAATCTGGATTTCTTTACAATTGCTGACCCATCTATGGATTAAAATTTTGGGTACCTTGATACCTTAGATTTGGGATCATATGAAGGGTATTGTAATATGCTCCATAATGATATCCTTGTAGAATCTCTATCTACTGGGTCCTTTACTGGTTTGCTACTTAAAGTCTCTGGTTGTAGATGCTAGGATTTATATCTCTACGAATCCTTTGAACTGATGATGCTATTTTTTGAGCCGACGATGGTATTTGGCCTGATATGCCAAGGTTAACCATTTGATTCTGAGCTTGCCCCGTCTGCTGTTGCACATGCTACACTGATGATCCAGAATTATACTGCATCTGATTAGTAGTAGCACCCTAAACTTGCTTAGATGAGCTCTGAACTACCTAGACATCATCATTACCAGCTGGTGCTGCTTCTTAATGGCTTGTACCGACTTGATTAGTCCCCTGAGTCGACGGATGTGGAATATTATAGTAAACCAGTCCAACCTGATCAATTGGATATCCATAAAACACCTCTTTCATGGTGTTGTGGAATGTGTTCAAGAAACTATATTATGGTTCAATATGGCATCATGAACAGATTTGTTTACAGCCTCTATGAAGAAACGCCTATCCTCATCTTCATCTGTATCTGACTGCCCATGCAACAAAACTTTTGGTAGTGGATATTTCTGAGCAACTTTATTGTCACATGTCTTGTTGTAGGACAACAAACACTTGTTCTAAAATTCTTCTATAGCTTTGCTGATGACATCTTTATCTTCATCAGGTAGGTCTTCATAAGGCACCATAAGGATGCCGGAAGGATCTGCTTAGGATAAGCCCGGAGATCCGCTTGGCTTCAACGCAGGACTAGTCGACCCTACGAATTCTCGAAGGCATGCTAGTTAATTTGACCTGCAATTGACACGGAGAGAAAGTTTATCAGTAATTTATGGTGGAACATGTCGGTCTTGCCCAGAAAGTTCCAAGTGTGCCGCTTCGGGAGCAGCCAGATGGGAAAAATCAACTAAATAGCCGATACACGAAGAAATCGAATGTTAAGGACTATAAAAGCTCATGGGTTGCGATTGATTTTGTGATCACAAGTACAATGCACGCAGATGTAAGTAAAATCATCAGCTAGGTGGAAATTACCAGTGTAAAGCATTGAGTCGATGAATCTAACGAGAAAGGATATAACATACGAACAAATCGACTGTCTAGTACAAATAGATCTACAAACACTCTGAATCTAATCTGTTACCATCAACAATGAGGTTCGACCGGATTGATGGCAGCTATGATGATAATAACAAACTAAAACCAAAGAATCCATAAAATCGTTTATACATTGACAATTTTTTTGAAAGACATGCTATATGCGTGAAAGCACAAACGAATCAGCTGAAATAGCCGATTCAGGTAGAAAAAGGACTACAACATGTGAACAATCGACTATTTAACATGGATAGATCTATGAACTCATCAGACCTAACCTGCTATCTTTAACAGTGGGGTTCGACCGGATTGATGGCAGCCATGATAAAGACAATAAATCAACCCTTTAAAATAAATAGATCTATTCACATTCAATAGAATCATGGAGACACATTGTAGGCGTTAAAGAACAGGCGATCGGCTATTTAGCCTATGGAGGCATAGCAAACAGCCAGGGTCATGCCCGGTCGAAAGCAAATCTACTAGCTAGCATCCTCCGATCTAAAGTACTAACAGTGGGGGTCGACCGGATCGATACATCCATAATAGCGAGCTATAGACCAAATTCAACTAGCTAGTAAACCTTCTCAAGATCAGACACGCCTTGACCGCGTACTACGCATGATCAAGATTGAAGTAGAACAACCAATAAAACATAATCCATCGTTTTAAAGTAAGAGCCGTCGCAATGTAACAAAATAAACGATGGACTAAAAGGATATAAGGCCGATCTAGATCGATCTCGATCGGGTAGGTTGATATTGCTGAAAACTAATGACAATAAGAACATCAATAAGATCGGTAACTTAATGAATCTACCCGAAGGATGCCACCCTTAGGCAGAGCCGATAACTTGACCTTAATCTAATTCGAGCAGTGGAGGTTGAACTAAACCGATGCAGCCGTACTTGAACTAGATAAGAATCGATAACTAGCTTATACTAAAGCTCGCAGTGGAGGTCGAACTTAATCGATGCAGCCTTACAACGGAAGTATAAGCCATAACGGTACTTGCAGACAAGCCGAAGGTCGACCAGACCGATGCAGCCCTACTTGTTGAAGAACTCACCGAGATCTATACTATTCCTACTCCTAAAGGTTGGCGTAAAACCAAAAAAGTAATTGGTATTGATTGATTGGATGTGTTTTTATAATAGCCGGGGTCCAATACTTATACCTGGAACCTAAGCATGAATCCTACTCAAGTACGATGCATTACAACTTTTGGTATTAAGAGAAAACATTCCTAAATTAAGATAACTTGGACCCTAATCTTTCCCTTTTTGTAGAGTCCGACATGTCTTTCCCAATGTCAATCGTAGCTCATTGGCATTATCTGCTGATGTCATCGGAAGAGAGCCGATCCTAGTGTTGCATCTAAATCAGCTGATATCGATCCTTATACAATCGATTCTTTGATGACTCAATCCTAGAAGCTTCGAGTTCCCGCGTTCTTCTTCCCAAATTTTGGTGTAAACACCAAGCAAAATTCTTCGTCAGCCTCCATGGCAAGTATGACTCTTGTTCTATTAAATATAGTACTAATTTAATCCGTCATGTATAATCAATATAGCAAGCCGATTAAAAGATAGCACGTAATCGAACAAGGGATAAACTGATTAAAATAATGCTATGCACCAAGACATTCATGTCGAGAGTTAATGCTAACAAAATAATAAAGTTACTCAACGGGAGCACTATAAATTGATTAAAATAATGCTATGAACCAAACCATTCATGCCGAGAGTTTATCCTAATAGAATAATGAAGTTGCTCAATGGGAACATTATTACATCACACGGGACTTTAATTGTTTTGCTGAAAATAAATCACACTGGCTAACAAATAAACAAATGGCTGATAACTTGGTCTACTCCTCGTCAAGGAGATCCTCATTGTCAAGGTCAAAATCATCATCACCAGTATAGGCATCTCCCTTTTCAACAGTATGATCGCTGGTGGCATTATGATCAACATCCATAGTTGCTGATTCAAGCTTCTCTGTAGGTTCTGATGGCTCCGAGAGATGTAGTCCAGTCATGGCATCGACAGATGCCTAGATGAGGTGTACCTCCGAGTTTGGGCGCTTCTTCCACTCTTGATATAGCTCAATCAAGTGTGGGTCGGTAGTGCAAGTACGGGACCAATGCTGGTGGGATCCACAGTAGAAACAACCCTCATTTGAGTGTTTCCCTCCACTTGCCTCATCCTTTGAGCCCTTTAGGGACTTGCATTTGCCATTGCCATTGAACTTTTGGCCTTTGCCATTGGCATTGGACTTCTGGCCTCTGTTCTTAAACTTTCTCCCTTTTTGCCCCTGGTGACCATGAAACTTTTGGCCCTTGTTTCTGAAAGAACCTTTACCATTGCTGTTATAGAAATTGGCATGTGCTTCAGGATGTGCATGTGTCCCAGCAGGGCGCATGTGGAAGTTCTTCATCAAGAGTTCATTCTAAGCCTCAGCGGCAAGCATCACATTGATGAGATCACAATACTTCATGTACTTGTTGTTACGGTACTGCTGCTAGAGTACCATGTTGGTGGGGTGGAAAGTCTCGAGAGTTTTCTCAATCATCTCGAGTTCAGTGATGACCTTGTCACAAAAGCGAAGCTGAGCCACGATACGGTGAATCGTAGTATTATATGCCTCAACTATCTTGAAGTCGAGGAAGCGGAGTTGTGCCCAATCACGCCTGGCCTGTGGGAGAAGCACTGCCTTCTACTTGCCAAAGTGTTCCTAAAGCTTCACCCACAATACCAGAGGGTCTTTCACCTCTAGGTACTCCATCTTCAGGTCAGGATGAATATGATGCCTCAGGAAGATGCAAGCTTTTGCCTTCTCATGGGTGGCGGAGCAGGAACACTGGCTGTAGGCCTAGCGATCGTGGGAGTCAGCTGCATCATCTGCAGATGAAACTCACAGTCGAGTGCCCAGGTTTGATAGTTCTTGCCGTTTAGCTCAAGAACCTTGAACTCTGTCTTGTTGATCGAAGCCATTGCCTATTAATTCATGCAAATTAACTTCTGGTAAATAAGCATGAAGTAGTATGTATAGCCATGAATGAATTATTATCAACGCAAAAGAAAAGTGACATAAAAAAATATACACACTAGGCATACAACGGTGGTCTGTAGCCGCCGACATCGCAAGATAGCCATTAGGGCCATGGTGGTGTCGCAAGTTTCAGTAGCCAGCGGGGCCACGATGCATGCATAAGTAATGTGCAACTTCAGGCAGCACAACGTGTGGAAGTTTGCTGGCTTACGCGTCGAACACTTTGGGTTGGCCGGCGGTGCAACATGAAAACAATTGAAATAAACTAGCCTGCATGCATGGCATGGCCAATGTCCATGGATGGCGTAGTAGCACACACCGGTGTACATGCATAGCATGATGGGGTGGCCAATGTCAGGTGGCAGACCGAAGATAAAAAGATATCATCGGTAAAAACAGGATCAATCTATTACACAAACTAGCAATAAATAAAACCAATCTACTGGGGTTCTTAAAAAAACTAGTATCCAAAGATTGGATTTGTTATACTAAAAAATTTAGAACGCGTCTAGGCTGCTAGCCAAACAAATCTACAAGATTGTGTTTTTCGAGATGTCATAATCAAATAATCTAGTAGGTGGTAAAAACAAATCTATTAATCTAGCATACTAGTGCTCACGTGGTGACGGCTGCCATCAAAGTAGCAGCAAGGGGAATTACATGAGATAAACGGTAAAGATGAATCTAGAACAAGTAAACTAGCCAAAGAAAAACGATCTGCTACGTATCTAGCATGCTAGTTGTATACATGAAACCGATCTAGATTGAAAGCAGGAATGAATCTGTGAGCGGATGGATCCAATAGGATCAAGAACAGCATACCGTCGTTGATGAGTAGCCGTAGAGCATGCTGATAACGTGTTAAGTAACAGCGGTGTTGTGGATCCCTGATCCGGTTTCCTTCTCAACAGCACACCAGATGACACACATGAGAGCAAATATCGTTGAACTCTTATCTCTTCATCATTATAGATGGATACATGCTCCTTTATATAGTCTTAACCTTTCAGGGGTATATTTGGTATGAGCCCATAATTATCTTAGGGTTATTGTTTTCCAACAATATATGTTCAGTATTTTCACTAATTTTTAGGTGTTTTCTTTTGTATGTTCTGCTTACTCGGTGCATCACGATTCATGAACTACAATGGTTAGTTGGGGCAACTTGTTTAGGGACTGTTCCGGAACGGAGAATTTGAAAGCAGATGAATGAAAAAAAAATAGGGTGTGGATGTATTAGCAAAATAGAGGAATGAAAAAAATAAAGAAAACACAGGAATAGATGTTTGGAAAGCAGGAATTAGAACACAGGAATTCTAGCGGTGCTGACGTCAAGAGTGTACACGTCATTTTTTCATATGCCATCTTTTATGGGAAATGGGCCCAAGAAACATGTCATACCAACCATAGGCCCTATCCACTGTTCGTGAGTAGCTGGCCTTCTTTTCCCTCCCTGTCTCGGTCTTCCGCGAAACTTTGTTCCTACTCGAACATTTCTTACGTTTTACCGTTGAAGCTTCCTTTATTCCAAACCCAATTTTGAGAAACCTTTCCACAGCAATGGATTCCTATAAATTTTCTATAAAATTTCTTTGATCTAGACGGAGCCTTAAACATTTCCCAATTTATATCATACTCAAAATCTATATCTATATCTATACATATTATCATTAAATTCTTAAAATATATGTCACATTTTTTACCTATTTTAGTATCTCTCTATAATTTTAGTCAAACTTGAAAAAATTTGACTCTCCAAGATTCTTGGAATGACTTACAATTTGGGATGGAGGAGTAAAATTTTTGTTTTTTTTTTTTGCTATTTTTAGAGGCAAAATTTTCGCCACTTTTTTTTTTTTTGCCATTTGTTTGGTCTGCCCTTAATTCACCGTGAATCGCAATGTGCAACAACTAGAGTCATTGCTCCTGCCTTCCAAAACATCTACGGAATCGTAGAGTATTCCCCATAAGAGCAAGAACACGACTCGGAAGACAGCAAAGACGAGGAGAGTTCAATCGGTAAACCACCTAGACAAGATTAAAAAGAACTCTAAGAAGATACGCAAGACAAGAACATAAATAATAGCTCAAATAATATAAAAGAAAAACTCCCAAAAGAAGTCGGACAGGAAGGACATGGTGTCGTGAAGTTTCTGTGCCCGCCTGCAGGGGCCGTCCATCCAGCTTCCAGAGACCGTCGATCCGGCCGTGCCCGTCGTGGATCCGTCTGCAGGGACCTATGCAAGAACAACTCGCCAAGAAAAACTCGCCCGACTTGAAGCACATGGCCTGCAGGGACCGTCAATCCGGCCTACAGGACCTTCAGCTTCGGCATCCGTCCGCCTGCAAGGACCGTCGATCTGTCCGTGCCCGTCGTGGATCTAGCCGCCGAACCCCTCGCCCTTGCCGGAGGCCGTTCTAGGCGCACGTGGCGCAGGCCGCCTCCACCTGCACCCGGTGGCATCCTGGCGAGGCAATGCCGTGCTGGGTCGCTGGTTGGCTCGGAGGCGCTGCCCCAGCAGGGTGGACGGCGGCAATGTGTGGCGCCTCGTGAAGACAAGAAGCACCGGTTCCTGGATGAAGAGGTGGCATCAAGGAGACGCCACTGCGGCGGCGCAGACAGGCTCGACGAGAGGACAGCTTGGCTTCCTAGAGGCTTCAGCGGCTGCCAACACAAAGCAGAGGCAATAAAGACGAAAAGCAAAGGGAGGCAGGTAGAAGGAGGGAGACGGGAGGGTCGTGTGGGTGGTTTTTTTTTCGTTGGAATAGAAGACCGTGTGACCCACCTATCAGTCAGTTGAGGAGTTTTGTCTCGTTATATTTCCTGCAACCCTTTATGTACATCGCAGTCACTGCTCCGTTTCGTGCCATCGCTCAAGCATGAAGGTAGTGCCGTGGTAGCGAGCAACGGTCAGCTGTTTCATGAAAAAGAAGAACCCTTTATGTACATCGCAGTCACTGCTCCGTTTCGTGCCATCGCTCAAGCATGAAGGTAGTGCCGTGGTAGCGAGCAACGGTCAGCTGTTTCATGAAAAAGAAGAAGAAGAACAAAACGCTCTTCTCCAGACAGTGGACTCAAAGGTCTAGATGGGTATCAAGCAATCACCCTTCTTCCGGCAAAGTTCATGATTTTTACTTTTTTTATACCTCGGTTGACAACCAAAAATGTCCATTTTGTGAAGTTGTCAAAATATGAAATGGACTTCACCATTGCGTTCCTCTCGTCGAGACGGTCAAAAAACATATATGGAACGTCTAATTCGAAGTCCGGATGAAGAAATTATGCCATCGGAAAGATGCCTCGTTATCGGGAGTTCCGACCCAAGTCGGGACTTCCGACTATCGGAAGTTCGACGGGTGTCGGGACTTCCGGGAATCCTGAAGTAATTTGCTCGGGTGTCCGGGGTTATCTCTACGTCGGGAGTTCCGACAAAAGTCGGAAGTTCCGACTGTCGGGAGTTCCGACCCAAGTCGGGACTTCCGACGTACTAACAGAAAATCCTGTTCGGATCTGGCCTTTTGGATTCCGATCCGAACTATTCCAAACTCGTGGAAAACTTAGAAAATAAGGGTTGGAGAGGTTTTCTACTAGGATAAGACCACCCCCTCTATATATATAAGAGGATCATGGCCGATTGAGTTCCCATGCTGTTCATCCTTTGACCCTCTTTTTCAACCCCCATGATGTTCATCCTTTGATCCGACGACCAAGGATGGCTCCCGAAGCTTGCCGGTCGATCTAGGACAACTCGACGACGTCCTTGCCCTGACGGGGTCCCTCCCGGGCGAGAGCTTCGACGGTTTCTTTGCTAGTTTGCCTGAAAACTAGCTGGTTCTTCGTCACGTAAGAACGTTGGTTATCCTTTGGTGGTTTGCTTATAAACCTCTCTGTTCTTCACCACGAAAGAGTGACATCTTCGCTGCGTTCTTCGGTCCGTAGCGGCCCGGGTGTCAAAGGCCCTATTGGTGTTTGATTCGGATAACTTCCGACGTCAACACACTTTTTGGCGACTCCGCTGGGGACGATTAGTTCGGCTATCTCTTATATCCGATCTCTCTGACCTATCCTTACTCCTCGTTGATCTATCTTCTTGAGCTCACCATCACCATTGCATCCGGCCCAAAAGGCCGATCGCATCTGGTTTTGACCCCTTGTGATCTTGTTTGCAATTTTGCAACAAGTTGCGCTGCTTATCGGAAAATTCAGCAAGACGGTCAAGTTATAAATCATGAAGTACCAAGGTGTTGCATCACAATATTACTACAATCACCCTAAGGTACAACTTGCAAATACATCTTATGATCCTAATAGTTATTTTGCAAGTTCTATGAGCTCATGTTGGTGTTGCTAGCTGTAATGATACTAGATATGTTACATCGGCTAATACTTTTGTTAATGCTCCTCATCATACACATCATAATTATGAATATTATGGTCAAGAGCCGATGCATGTTGTAAATTCTTTGAGTTTTGATGCTACTAGCAACATACAACACGTAAATTGTTATTCATCGGCTATAAGTTCACAATATGTGGTTCCACCACAAGACATGCCGATGAATGAGAGAATTGGCTATAACAATGCTAATTATTTAGCCAATTGCTCTGAAAATTCAGCACCATATGTCAATGCTCCTATTCATAATTTGGCTCCATATGTTACTTTTAACTCAAGCCGAATTAATGAAAAATCAGCAAGGTGTTTAAGTGCTAATACTTATGATTTGGCTTCACGTGTTACTAGTAATCATAGCCAAATCAACGAAAATTCAGCACCTTATGCAAAGATCAATGCTCATAATTCGGCTTTGTATTTCGCTCATGACCATAGCCGAATTAGTGAAATTTCAGCAAGGCATTCGAGTGCTAAAACTTGTGATTCGGCTCCACATATTGCTAATAATTATAGCCAAATCAATAAAAATTCAGCAATATGTGCAC